CTCTATTTTCATTCGCTAAGTATTTGGAAATCATTTCAATGTAGGTTTCTACATACCTGATACAATTGTATTATTCTATTACGCCAAACTCATTCTTTCATTCCTTCAAATAGTATTTATTAAACACTAAATATATGTCAAGTATTATTTGGGATATCTTTCCACTTCACATTGTTTTTGACACTTTTCTTGTGACAAAGACAGATGGAAGAAAAAAGAGGGAGTTCTCTTTAATATCTAAGGAGTGAGTTATTTAGGAAATGAATTTGAGGTTTTGCGTGTGTTTTTTTAACTTTATATTTGCAAAGAAATTATCAGTGAAAATGGAAACGATTTTACATGAGTGGCCAGGATTTCCCACCATTATCACCTCCTGCTTTCTTACCTGTAAAACAGGAATGATTTTGTGGACTTGCACGTGGAGTACAGGCTGCGCAATGGCATTAGAGGCATACTGACAAGGTTTGAATGGTGGCTTCACAATTGGATGGATGGGTGACTTCAGGCAAGTGACTTAACCTCCCTGCGCCTTACTTTCCTCAGCTGTAAAGTGGTAATCACAGTAGTGCCTAACTCACAGGGCTGCTGTGAAGAATAAATAAGGTGATGCCCAAAGAGCTTAGAACAGTACCTGGCACATGCTAAGTGCTCGAGAAATATCAGTTTTAACATTTTTAAGAAATGTTCTAGTAAGTGATGAATAAAGCCCTGGAGTGGGGCTACAAGTTGCAAACACGTCTGCTTTATTCACCATTTCATCCTAAATGTTTAGATTAATGCTTGGCACAAACTAGATATTTAAAAACACATTTATTGAATCCATAGAGAAGTGAGTAGGGGTGAGGAGACTGACTCCCAGGTTCTACTCCTAACCTTGCCTCTATCTACTGCCCGTCTCACCCACTGTGCCCTGCTGTGAGAACCTGGGACAGTCACTGTCCTAGATCTCTCCCCTCCTTTGTAAAATGAAAGGATGATACAAAAGAGCTATAAAGTATGTAGCTATAAACTAGAGTCGATAATCTTAATCCACCACACTTTCAGAAAAAGGATTATAAAAACCTCACAACAACATAATTTGAAAATAATCAACATACTTGAAAATACTCAACAGTATGGAGACTCTATAAAATTGCTGTATTAGAGTTTTAACATTTTCAAAAGAAATTTAATGCAGATTCTTTGCATCGTCAAAAAGGGCAGTAAAACTCATTGGCACTAATGCCACCACTCAGAGATGTGCTAGCTCTCCCTAAGAGCTCTGCAGAGAGGGAAGAAGAATGAAGTTGGATAAAGAGTAATTAATGTACAAACTTGCAACTAGAAGAATAAGTTTTGGAGATCTAATGCACAGCAATTATAGTCAACATATATTTCAAAATTGCAAAGAGACTAGATCTCAAATGTTCTCACTACAAAAAAGAAATAATTATGTGATGTGATAGAGGTCTTAGCCAAAGCTACAGTGGTAATCATATTGCACTACATAAATGTATGAAATCAAATGTTGTACACCTCGAACTTGAATATTTCAGTAAAAAAAAAAGTAATTAACGGTCCTGCAGTCATATATTAAACCTTTCTTGATTTTTCATACATCTAGGCTTGTATTTGAAAGAGAAAAACTTGACTCACAGGCAGTGCAATAAAAGTGACTCAAGCTTTCAGAGTCTCAGTTTCTCTACATACCAAAGGGCATAATAATATCTACTCCATTGGGATTATCATGAACATTACATAAAATAAAGTGGCAAAGGACCAAGTAAGAAGCAAACTTTCAATAAATAGTAGCAATTAATAGCATAATAATAGTTATTATTGCAATTATTTACAAGAAAACCACTTCCTAGCAAATGTTAACAGCATTGAGGGTAATTTTTCTGGCTGACGTTACACAGTATATAAGTTGGTTTCATGATATGGGTTTTAGATATGCTAATGTAGCATCTAGAAGAGACAACAGGCAAAGACATGTCTGCTTGCTAGGTAATCCTTTTTGTGAAGTGCTGGATGGTGAGTTGGGGAAAAAATTAATATCTAAACTTAGAGAAACAGTTGGGTCAGAAAACAAGTACATGTAAAGGTAGCTTAGCATAGTGGTTAAATGTACTACCTAGCTATGTGACTTTACTTAATTTCTCTGTGCCTGAGTTTCTCCGTCTAAGATAAATGGAAATAGTAATACTGAACAAGACTGTTATAAAAAGTTAATATTTTTAAATGGCTTAGAACAATGCCTGGAATACAGTAAATGCTATATTAGTGTTAAACCAGAACAGTAATGTGAATGCCTGAAGTAATACAGAAAGGCCTATTAGGAAACCTTTGGAGGAAAGACTGGCAAGGTGCCCTTTTAGGAGCACAACTTGGAAAGCTACTTGGCTCATTCATTCATTCAACAACTTGGGCATCCCCTATGTGCAAAGTGAAGTGCCACAGCCATAAAGAGAGTTGATTCACATGTGAAATGACAGAGGTAGACCAGAAGCTAAGGCAGAAAGGAGCCCCAGATGAGACTGGGAATAACAGAAGTGTGTTAGATAGATACATAGATAATACAGATATTATATTATCTATAGATAATATAGATAATATGATGCCCATTCCTATGCACGTCCACAGCATTCCCTAATTATTTCACAGTATCCCAGGTACCTGTTAATGATATTTAAGTGTCTCCCCAAGGCAGAGCTCCCTGACGGTGGAGAATGAGTCTTGTTCACTGTGGAATCCCCTTTCCACAGGGCTCAGTAAGTATATATTGAAGTGAAGCAAAAGTGAGTAATAAGATTGGACCTGTAATTACTGAGCACTCAGTACTTGGGCTCCTAACTGCTCTCATTGCAATTTCAACCCTCCATACTACTCCAAATAGCTCAATGTTAATGTGTGGAAGGAGAGACTGTGATCCCAAGAACATGGCCCTTTTGAGTAACATCTTAGTCTTCTTTGTAGTGGTGGCTTAAGACTACCCAATAGTAAAAGAGGCTAAGAAGCCTTCTGCTTAGGGATTTCCTCCAGCTACTTTTCTCAGTCCATACACAAGCACCTCAAAGCCGGCACAAACAAAACTGAACTCACCAGCACCACAAATGAGCTGAATTTTTTCTTCCTTCTTTCTCTACAGCTGTCCATCGACCAAATTCTTTTCTGTGTTTTCCTTGAGAATATCTCGCTCAGACAGCCGTCTCATTAATGTCTTAGCCACCACCTCACGGAGACACACTTGAATTACCACTATAGAGTCTTACTGTGATGCTGCCTACATATCATTGCAAGATAAAGCTTCCTAAAATACAAGTTTCATCATATTTCTTCCCTGTTCAAGATCTAGGCTCCATATTTCTTCTCTTTACCTAATCTACTTTGGTTAGTAAGATCCTCCATACTTTGGCCCTACACTATCTATGTAAGTTTCGTACTACTTACTAAGGTCTGCATGCAGAATGCCCTATTCTACTTTGATTAGTGACCTCAGAGCACTAATCATTGAAACTGTCCTTTCATTTAAATACAATATTTAAAACGTTTGCTTCTGAATGCTTTGCCAATGTCATTTCTCTCTTGGCATATGACTCCTAATCCTTTGGCTGCTCAAGTGCTTGCTCTTCAGTGAACATTCTACTCTAAGCCACACATGTCAGTACTAATATATAATTATATTATCTTTTGTTTCACTCTCTATTTCCTGTGCTTATGCACAAGTGTTCCCTCCTCAATAAAACCACAAATTGCTTGAGGGCATGGAGTTTACACTATTTTTTACTGTTTATTAAACAAATATTCATTGAGTTCCAGGGTTGTGCCAGGCACTGCACTAGGTTTTGGGGTACAGTGATGAATAAGATAGACATAATCCCCATCCTCATACCACCTACATTCTAGTGTGTGTGTGCATGTGTGTTGGGGGTAGTGAGATAAAAAATTACACACAATTATATGATTAGAAACTGAGGTAAGCACCACGAAGTAAAAGTACAGAGTGCCGTAAAACTATGATAAACTTCATATTGAAAGAAAATGTCCCTGAGTCAAGATCAAAAGGATAAAAGAGAAACAAACAGGCAAATGTCTAAAGGTCTAAAGAAGCCCGGTACGTTAGAGGAACTAAAAAAACGTTGGTATCCATAAGTGCAGAGGGCAGAAGATGAGCCATATCAGATGAGGCTACTGAGGTAGAGGCTGGGAGTAGTTCCTAGCATTGTGCCAGAATCAAGAAGTACTTGCTAAGGGAGGGTAAACTTACGTGGTTCTTAAGAGTCATAACGTATCATGGCAGAGGTCATTCCTGAACTTTCGTTGTCTATGTATTTGGAGTTTTCAAAAAAAAAATGCTGAATGCCCAAAGCTTAAAAAAAGTGAATACTTACATGCTTATGAAAGTGATCAGGATGCTCATCTTACTGAAACACACATGCCCAGTAAGGATGCAGGGCAAAGGAAATGTCTCTGAAAAGGCTCCATGTGGCAGTAAAGATAAGAAGACCTGCTGCTATCAGCTCAGATTTTTGTTTTCTCAAATTCAGTAAAAAAGGCATGGACCAATGACAACTATGATGTGGACTGTGGTCTACTCCACATAACAAGTTTGATGGCAAAATGTTTTAAACAGGCCACCTAACAGATGGTAATGTATTTCAGCCATTACCAATGTGAGCAGAATTCAAACCAGTGACCCCAGAGGTGAGAGGTTGTATATCCAATTACAAATTCCCACTTTCCTTAAGTATTAAGATGCCTAAACCAATATATTTTATTTACATCAAGATGCATTGTATAGACTATATTTAATAACAGAGATGACTTCACGTTCTCAACTTAAATCAAAGAATGTTTACTTATTTTTTTAATTGAATCACACTTTAATGCCATTGTATAATCTTTTGTTTAACAGTGCTCATCTTGATTATTCTAACAAAAGGAAACATGGAAATTAATATTTAAGTTATAGATCTTATGTCATCTATAAAAATACACATTAGAAAATTTAAAAGAGATACCTGGGACATCTGTGAAGCTTTCTCCAAGGACAGATACGTGGAAATTGAGTCCTAAGTCCTTAAGACGCACTACCGCCTTAAAAAAACTCTCTGGATCTTTATCATGCTCCCTGGAAATAAACACACAAAATATAACTTGTGATACCTTAGGGTATGCATGAGGAAAAGTGTTTTCACTTCTCACAGTATCAATTCTTCTCGTGGTCTATTTTTAGTTAGGGGGGACTCTGGCATCCAAGAAGAGATTTTTGCCTATAACTTTACATTGTAGCATCAGCATTGAGTGCTTTCATAAATATAACTTCTCTTTCATGGATCAAAACCCAGTCATATTGAAGTCTTAAGGCTCTGTAGCCTTTTATTAAAGGAGAAATCTATCGTGTTTTTCACATTTCTTGGTTAGACTATAGAAAGTCTAGTGTATTTTCCTTTCTCTCAAAAAGGTTAAATTTCCACTTAACAAGGTTCTTAACCAAAGAAAAGACTAGTCTTCAAAAGATGATTCTCTATTGATCATGAGAATGTACCAAAGATGCTTTTCATTTCCATAAGTCAGAATACCTTTCTCTCACATTTACTGAGCCCCTTTGTGCCCACAAGGAACACACAATTTAGGGAGTGAGATTACAGACTCTCTCACTAATCTTTCATTTTAAATAATTGAATAGAGAATTGTAAATATATCAAAAGAGAGTAGGCCTGAGTCTAAGTCCACTAAGTATTAGCTTAGGAGTGGAGGTTAGTCAATATATAAAAGAATAGTAATAAAGATAATTTTTTCATTTAGTAGAGGCTCTTGAAAAACATGGATAATTTTTGTTTGTTTATTTTGTCAGTCTTCTTTGTAATGACAGAATGAGAAGTTAAAGGACACTAAAATAAAAAAAAAAATTCACCAATTCAAGAAACCACATTAAAATGGAATGAGTTATTTTTTACATTCTAAGGTGTGAATATTTCAGTATTTTTTGTATTTAATTACATTGTTTTAAATTATGTTATTTCAGACAGATGTGGACCAGATGTCTTCAAATTATTTGCTTTTTATTTATAATTCAGAATTTTAACTTATTTTCTCTATTACAGAGAAATAGTTATATATCAGCAATTGAATTCCTCATTTACCAACTAATTATGTAAAATAAATCTGTAAATTGATCAAACTGCTATATGAAATATGAAAATTACATCATTCAGGAAATTTCACGAAAAATGACATCTGCAACCCTAAATGTGTTAATTCACAATTCAGTCAATATTTTCAGTATCAAGAATTAAAACAAATGCATCTTCTGATTAACATTTTAAAACGGCACTTATAATCTCATGGAATTGTAAAATCTTATAGAATTAGAGTTCCATAACAATTTATTTTAAGTTCTGTATCTCTCAGTTTGATTTACTTTAAATAATAAAGAACGCAATGGCAAAATGTTCATCACTTTTTAAGATGATGCTTATTACATACGTGTACCCTTGGGAAGTTTTTGGATAGTTCTTATATATACCACTGCTGTGGGCAGAACAAAGGCTCAAACAGTTTGAAAGTAAAGAATATGCCATATGCTATCTTCAACCATATCAATCAAATAGCTGCCACTTAATCTGTAATATGTTCTTTTAGTCTGATTCTCTTGGAAATACTTAGATGAAAAGAAGGGAAACAATATAACATAATATATCTTAAAGAAGGCGTAACACTATAGGGAAATATAGCCACTCAGTTCTTTAAATTTTTCATTTTGAGTTCCAAAACTTTTGGCTATGGATCCTCAAGAGAATATCTATTCCAAATATTTCCTGCTGTTTGTTTGTTTGTTTTGTATTAAAGTTAAAGTAGATGCTGTGTGAGGTTTGGAGGTGGTGTAATTGGATAGAAGCTGTAGTTCTTAAAAGATTCCAATATGAGTATTTTCAAAGCAGCAAGCTTTATGAACCTACAATTTCAGTGTTTCTATACAAGATAAATGCATTACAATCCTACTGTATTCTTTAGATATTTTTTATAGGTGGACAAAAGCTTTCATATTCAATAGTTACTTTGCATAAGAACACAAAAGAGATTTGTATGAATCCCCTCTCTTTTTGTTTAAACTATAATATATGGATGAACGTAAGGTGAGATTTTTCTTCCCCAAAATTATCCCTGAGAAAAGAAGCATTTTATACTAAAGTCCTTATAAAGTCTCTCTTAATACTGGGCACTCTCTCAATTACTTTATTTTGAAAAAAGTACTGTTTAGGGAAGTTGCATTAACCTGAAACAATGTCAATTGATGAGAGTTTTGGACGCTTTTAGCAGTCATTCACTTGACGGGACTGGTAAAAACAGAAGCAAAGGAATTGAATACTGCCTTGGTAATTATTTTGGGAGATGTGACCTAACAATTCAAAGTGTTGGATGTTGTTTAAAACAAATATTTTAAAGATCATTAAAAAAAGTAACAGAGTAAGTGGTTACTGGAAATCATGAGTAGTAAGTGGGTTTTTATAGCTGGGGAAAAGATTTCCAGGGATGGCATCATACACAGTTTCACAAGTCTTGCACCCCAAACTGCTTAGACTGAATTCCAGATGACAGGTGGTGGAAACATGCCAGCTCCCTGAAAAGGTGGCACCCTTCTGATGTCAAGAATGCATGGGAGGGCGAGTTGAACTAAACCTGCTTCAAGAAATATAAGGGTGGAAAAAGAGCAATACTTCTAAAAATATTCTATATGATATGTGCTTTAAAGTATTATTTATGTCTAAATTAGATTATATATTATAAGTAGACACTTGACTATTTCATCTATGTCCCTCAAAGTTTACATAGTCAATTTAGCTGAAAATTTTTCTCTTGAGAAAAATGGAAAATTGCCTAACATTCAGAAAATCATTAAAGATGTGCACAAATATTTAGCCACAGCCATATATCAAGGCTCAGATAATATTCAACAGCAGAGCTCAATATATTTTGTTGAGTGAGGAACTCATTCCAAATAGCCAATGGATCATCCATGGATCTTATCCCAGCATCCGTGATATTAATGAACCCATTCAGCAGAATATGAGAATCTGTCTTAAATTCCTTTCTAAGAAATCTAATGTAAAGCTCTTATACTTATGATTTTAGCATGAAGCATTAAATATAGGATGGGAGATTTAAAAATAACATACAGAGTGCCCCTTTCTGCCAACAGCTGTCAAGATTAAGCATACATTTAACATATATACTCAATTCTCTATAACCACACTTGTAGACTTATGGGCTCTTAAACACTCTTCTGCTCTCATCCATTGCTGGTAGGAATGTAAATTGAAACAATATTTTAGAGGGCAGTTTGGTAACATACATAATAAGCCTTACAATGTATATAACTTTTGCCCCAATAATTCCAATTTAGAAAAGTTACCCTAAAAATTAATTCAAGAGGTGCATGGAAATTCAGCTACAGTATGTCCATAACAGCATTGTTTATAATGATAACCATCTGTAAACAACCTAATGGGATGATAAGGAAATATATTTGGACATATGATGCAATACCATGCAGCCACTAAAAATAATGTTGTAGAGGTATATTTTCTGACATGGAAAAATATTCAAGAAATACTGTTAAGTAAAAGGGGGGTGACAGAGTAGTATGCATTATATGATCTGCTTTTGTAAGACAAAATGGATGTGTGTGCCTAGAAAAAGGTTTGGGATGAACTATACCAAAGTGTTAACAAGGTTTATCTCTAGGGATTGCATTATAAATGTTTCTCTTTTTTTTGTATGTTTTCTCTTGTTTCTTTAATAAAGATTTTTTAATACAAATCATTTTTAATGCTTTTAAGGAACCACTCCTCTCTCACATTCTGCCATAAAATTGTATTCATAGGATTTTTGCTTAACTCTGTAACAATTTTAGTATTTAAAGCAGCATAATTTCTCATTTCCTGTGACCCCTCTACATTTGACAGTTGCCCATCAAACAAACTTGATTCATCACAAAACATTCTAGAAGATGAGTCAGAGGCCAAGCTTCCCAACAATTCCCACACTCTTGACTAGGTAAGAATGAAACAGTCTGGCTGGGAACTCATTCTTCCACAGCCCAACTATGGCAGAAGAGACCAGCGCGGAAATATTTCAGGCTTACTGGAAGCAGCAGATATAGCAAGAACAGCTTTTATTCCCAAATATTATTCAGAACATTTGAAAAGCATAAACTGTTTCCATGTGTTTTTTCTTCCTATATCTGTTCTCTCTCTGTTGCCTTTCCCATTTAGCTTTTTAGAGCTAAATTTCTTCTTATTCCTCACTTAACATTCATTCAGTAAATATTTATTGAGGATTTCTAAGTTCTCCATACTTGTCACTTATACTAAACTGTTACTCTTTCCTATTTTCCCACATAACTTTATACTTATTGAATGCAATCTCTTTGATCCAGTTCATTGTCTTGCCTGGACAGAAACCTGGCTCTTTACAGACGCCATAGCTTTCCTAGCAGCAGGTTACTCTGGATTGAGAGCTCCATGAGGGCAAGATAAACGATGTCTGTTTTGTTCACTACTAAGTACCCAATGCCTCATCAAGTAGTGACAGACAGTACTCATGTTTATCAATATCTGGGTCTTCTCTCTTTCTGGGCACAGAGAAGACTCCATGTTCATCCCCTTGTATTAGGGGAGGCCACAGGACTAGTTCTGGCTGATGGATTGCAAGCTGATTCATGTGTGTCACTTCCAGGTAGCAGGATCTAAGAGCAATTCCGGATACCACATTCCCTGCCGCGGTGATCCTTACAGAAGTCTTCTGTTAAGATGGTTAGGTTAAAAGAGTGAAGCAGTCTGGAGTGCCACATGGAGGAGAGTTGCCCTGTAAAGCCATCTCAACATGCAGCAGACTTTGAGTAAGTGAGAGAAGTAAACTTTCATTGTGTTTAAGCAACTGAGATTTGAGGGGTGGGGGGTCTTCATTACTGCAGTATCACGTGGCCTGTGCTAATTAGCTGCTCTAAAAATATTTGTTGAATAAATGAAGGTGTTGGTAAAAGGAATTACATTCATAGAGCTCCTGCTATATTTAGGATCCCATACTAGGCACCTGATCACAGTCTTACTTAAGCCTCTTAACCAA